TACCCACCCACACAGAATGAGGTTTACAACTGTGGTGGTAAATACCCACCCACACACAGAATGAGGTTTACAACTGTGGTGGTAAATACCCCACCCACACAGAGAATGAGGTTTACAACTGTGGTGGTAAATACCCCACCCACACAGAGAATGAGGTTTACAACTGTGGTGGAATATACTAAACTCACACCAGATAGTGAGATATACTACTAGGGTGGAAGATACCAAACCCACACCAGATAGTGAGATATACTACTAGGGTGGAAGATACCAAACCCACACCAGATAGTGAGATATACAACTAGGGTGGAAGATACCAAACCCACACCAGATAGAGAGATATACTACTGTGGTGGAAGATACCAAACCCACACCAGATAGTGAGATATACAACTAGAGTGGAATATAGCCCACCCACACCACATAGAGAGATATACAACTAGGGTGGAAGATAGTGATGTCACGATCATCGATTATACTCTATCATCGGTTGAACAGTGGCTCGAACCAAGCGCTTAATTACCAAAATCCATAATTGATTTCATAGAAAAAAAAAAGAAAAGATATCATTGCTATTTTAGTTCGGGAATCACCCGACATTCGCCGTAGTTACTTCCTGTTGAGGGGCTAAAGCCTAGGACACACTAGGGATTTTATATGCTGGCTAAACAAGCACACACGTACATGCACACGACGTTACGCACACGCAGGCATTCAACACCCCGAGTAGCCGATTGTAACCGATCATCGGTTACTTGGGTCCAACCGATGATCGATTACGAAATTACAACCGATTGACAACACTAGTGGAAGATACCAAACCCACACCAGATAGTGAGATATACAACTAGAGTGGAATATACTAAACACACACCAGATAGAGAGATATACAACTAGGGTGGAAGATACCAAACCCACACCAGATAGAGAGATATACAACTAGGGTGGAAGATACCAAACCCACACCAGATAGAGAGATATACAACTAGGGTGGAAGATACCAAACCCACACCAGATAGAGAGGTATACACCTGAGACGGAAGGTTTCCGAAAAAACGCTTGCATACCCTTACACACCTGCATGGGTTGATACAGCAGCCAAGGAGCTATGTAGCAGTGCTGGGTTACAGCTTGCCTTACCCGGGAGAGCTGGCATTGTTTACTCAGAACAACACGTGTTACTCCTGTACGCACGGCAGGCTGTGGCAGGCTAAAATGTCCTATGTAGTTGATCGCTCCACCTGGAGCAATTGACAGGTGGCTGCAGTCAGTCAGTCAGCGTTATGATGGGAGCATTGTAAAAAGGCCGTGGCTACGCATCCTGTTACTGAGCGCCCAGCTCCCTGGCTACGTGTCTCGTCATATAATCCTTATGTGAACCCAACTATATTTTTTCAGTAAAAAACAAACAATAGGTTTTTACCATAATATTACTTGCCTTTAGGTATTTTATCCAAAAAAATGTGTGTGTGTAACTTTTGAAGCAATAGTAAATCCAGTAAAATCAACGATTTGAAAGGGGCGTGGCCTAATCGTGACGTGGATTTGGGAATCTGTGCTGATCTTGGTAATGGATGGCCCGGACGCGTAACCATTGCGTTATAAAAATGCTGTTTATTAACGTGCTGCGATGTCAATAACTTTGCATGCACAGGAGTAGGGTAACCACGTACTACTGGTTGAGCTTGACAGATTTAGCTTTTCGTCGCTCTCTCAGGTTGAGACCGTGATGACACTGATGATGACGATGATTATGTGGTGATGACACTGATGATGACGATGATTATGTTGTGATAACGACTGTCTGCTACTGTTGTCAGTTATGTAGTCACTAGTTGACAACCCGGAGCCCAGGTCCCTGTTGCAAGGACTTATGAAGGTCGTACGTTATGAAGCCAGGATTACTCCATGAGATGGAACTTTCGTTGCATTTTTTTGTGGTGTTGGATGTTGGGGTGATAAATGTGCATGTCGTTTATTTGCGAGCATGCCAGAGCATGACATGAAGTCGTGTAACATACTGTGGCCTGACTCAGTCTTCATATGTGGAGACATCTTGTCGTAGCGGTGCCATATCATATCGCTATGTTATTAATTGTGTTGATATCGGCTCTGAGCGGATGCTGTGTGAAGTGTTAGATTCTACGTAGTCGTTGCATTGGGCTAGAGGTTCCACGCAAGGGTGCAAACAAATGTTTGTTATCTGACGTATATCGATCAATTGGTTTATGATTTGTATATTGCGTTCTGTTGGTTGGTAGTGCTTGTGCCAGATTCAGCCAAGCGATTTATGTTCTGGATAGTTCTGTCGATCGGTAGATCGCCAAGTGTGAAGTGATTTGAGGAAACAACAAATTACGTATTTCTGTTTTGGAAGTGAAATTATTATTTTCAATATTAATATTATTGCTAATAAAAAATTGTTTCCATTAAATATCGGTGATTGTGTTTTTTATAACAACTGCGTGTAAGCAATGCATTTACAAATAAACAGGCCCAGTGTGACCTTCTAGGCGTGATGTGGCAGTTTACAATAACCTTAATGAGATAGGAGGGCTAAACTACGACATTTGTCAGGTGAAAGACACGATACAACCTAACAAAATTTTCTCACTTACCTTGCTAAATTTTACCGCATTCAAAAAATATTAAGGAGCCCAGCTAGATTAATAATGTTAATTTTATACATCTATTCTGATATGAGTGTATGTATTTGAATTATGTTCAGAGTTGACACAATCAGCTCGGTTATTTGTGAGTGTTCTCTGCAACGTAGTGGCTACAGATACATCACTGTATCCCACTGAGCTGTATACAGTAGGCTGAGTAGCAGATATAGTTATTAGTAATAACAAAGTTTGCTATAACATAAACTTTGCTATTAATCCGAGTTGAGCTGGTATCCTAGACATAACATCAGGGGTTAATAATGACAATTTGATGACAATTTGATGACACAATAATGACGTTTGTCATTATTAACCCTTGGTAGTATCTATGTGTAGTTATGAGAGCTCACGATTTGTACTGCATACACTGTAACAATCTATTTATGCACTGTTCTCAGGTAAATTACCAATTATACCATAACCCAATACACGCTCACGCAGATGAGATATTCCACATTTTCTAGAATAAAACTGCCGTATTATATATATATATATATATTATAACATCCGAAATGGCAGAGCACAATGATTTATTTGGACAATCAAAAATTGAAATCCGAACAGGCTAGATAGATCTTGGAGTATAATGATTCAGAATAATTACTCCAAGGATAGATAATTATACACCCATTTTTTTTATTTTTATATTAATGCTATAAAATAACAATAAATAATAATAGTAAGCAATAGTGTATTGCGGATTAAATGATTTTAAGGAATTTTAGACATAAAGTTGAGAAATGTTACATAGGCCTAATTAAGTGATATATCACTGAGTGATAGTATATAGAAATTGCAGTTTGTGGACCAAAATATCAAACTCCACGACAGATGGCGCTCTCGCTCTGGCTCAATTCTACTGTATATCCTAAATAAATCCTGTATATTCTAAGGTATATCCTGAGTGTGGGAAGGGAGCGCTGCATGCAGTTTGCCAAAATATTTCTTAGCCACGACAACTAACTGCGGTCCCACATGTGTATGAGTTAAAAGTAGACTAACGAAATGCTCATTTGATTGCATTGGCTGTAGCTACATATCTATAACTAGCAGGCGTATTAATACTATTATGCTTGCCTGTAGCATTTCTGTATTGTACACACTGACCGTGGCGAAGAAAGTTTGGCCCACAAATATTTTGTGATGTCAAAGATTTTTTTGCGGGTCCACAAACTGTTTGTGGTGGCTAAGAAATTTTTGGGCCACCAACTGTTTGTGGTGGCTTAGATTTTTTGGGCCCACAAACTGTTTGTGGTGTCTACAAAAATTTCGGCAAACAAACTCATAGCTAGTAGAGTAGTACGTACGTCAGCCAGAACTTCCTGTGATTATGAAAGGCAGGGAGAGTGACAAGAGTGATCAGCTCTCCAGCTTGAATGAATAATTTTAACAAAATCAAGTTTGATTTCAGAGATACAGTGCACGCGCGAGCAGGGGTTTCCCGATATGCTACTGGGGGAAACGTGCTATGATTAGGTACCTCATGGTCATTAAAATGACTGGTGGGTGTGTTCTCTTTATGATTTAATGCGATGATAAATCAAATTACTATTTCGTTTATTTGATAATGCCTGGACATAAAGCTGTTCATATCATGAAGGACACACATTGCCTTCTATTCAGCAAAATATTGTTTTGTTACGGAGATTAATTTATTGTGAGATAGTGGGCTTGCGCGCACATATATAGCGTGTAGAGAATTCGGAGAATTTTGACACATTATAGCGATTAACGAAATCTCACTTATTACTCTCTGCGTCCCCACATCTGACGATATCCTCTCCCTATATGTCCACCCTCCGCTTCCCTTATATATATATATAATATATATATAATATACTACGCATTCCTTTTGCCCATTTTTGGCTCAGCCTCGACCGCTTCTACCATAGATATCATATAACAACATGTCATATAATATATGTTGTTATATGATATTTATGGCTTCTACCCACCTTATCGTTACATGTTGGCTCGCTAGGTGCCGTGGTAGACGCGATCGATAAAGTGACGTCAATAATGACGTCATTGATCGGTGTAACCGGAGAACTACTAGCGAACGAGCAAGTGTTTACCGTTAGCTGCCTCATGCTCTGTATCCCTGTGGTGGTTGCATATTAGAAGGTTGAGGAAAGATCTACCATATGACACCAGTAAGTATAAAGCTGTATTGTAATTTGTAGTATGCAATCGGTTTTCTTTAAATTCGGTTTTAGTTTTTACGTGGCTTAACAATAACTGCTTCAGTGCTTGCTTGCGGACGGGCGGCACGGACGGGCAACGCATTTCTAAATCCTGTTTATATCACTATCGGTATCAGCACTGCCACTGGTATTCAATAATACTTTCCTTGTGACGTTGTGAGTCGACGAACATGCTCAGTCAATGAATGCAAGAAAACGCAAGAACTGCTCACAAATTGGTACTGACCTAATCAGAGCCGCAGACCTAATCATTGATCAGAATCGTGGCAGTTGCGCAACGCAAGTGAAATCGGCATAATCTTGTTATATTATTATTATTTATTAAAAATTATTATTTATTATACTAGCGTCATAGGCATGTCAGCGATTCGTAGTAGCAATACTGCTATTCGTCTAGTACTGCCATGTATTTTTGTGTTTAACATAGCATTACCAAGCTATCTTGATCTTGATTGTGTATAGCTCTAGTACTATAGCCCGCTTACATTGACTGCCGCTGGCGGCAGTTCATGTAAGCGGCTATAGTACTAGAGCTAGATTGTGTACTGCGTGGACCGTGTATACGCGTATTATGACGCAGGTGGTGGGGCATGGTGAAATTACAGCCTGTTCTGCTAGCATCTATGACAAATACGACATACGCATATACGCTCTCCTATGACACTACTTGTCATAGGAATTAAGATTCTTCCTATGACAAATATTGTTGTATGTGTTGCGCGCATCATAGGAGTTTAGGAGCGCTATTATGAACGCAAGCAGTGAATTTCAGCTGTAAAGCGGAACGAAGTTGCCTCGCCAATATTTGTCATAGGAAGAATCTTCCTATGACAAATAGTGTCATAGGAGAGCGTATATGCGTATGTCGTATTTGTCATAGGAAGATTCTTCCTATGACAAATAGTGTCATAGGAGAGCGTATATGCGTATGTCGTATTTGTCATAGATGCAAGCAGAACATGTTGGAAATTAGGCGCTCCCGGCTGCGACCGCGACACAGATGGCCTCGATTACGGTCTGTGTGCAGGCATTCCAGTCCACGATGGTCCGTGGAAAGAATGAGTTCTTGAATTCCTCTGTTCTAATGACAGCGAGTTTGTTGTCGTTTTTGCTCCTTATGCGCGATGGACCCATCCTGATGTACTGGACTTTGGGGATCGCAGTACTTCCAGAGAGAATTTTGTTGAGAAGGTTGAGTCGCTTCTCTTTACGGCGTAG